AATATAGGGCTTTAGCACAAACTTCAGTTGAACTGAGTTGGATTGGGATGTTGCTTGCTGAACTTCATATCTCTGTTCCTGTGCCTACCCTATGGTGTGACAACTTATCTGCCATAGCTATGAGTAACAACCCTGTGTTTCACGCCCGTACTAAACACATTGAGGTCGATTATCACTTTGTTCGCGGAAGAGTTGCCTCCAAGAAGCTTCATATCTGTCATATCCCCACTTCTGATCAAGTTGCTGATGTCTTTACTAAACCACTATTTGTTGCTCGATTTCAATATCTTCAGCACCAGCTTAATGTCCTTCCCAGTCCACTAAGCTTGAGGGGGTATGATAAGCAACCTGATAAGCCACCAGCCACTCAGTCCACTCAAGCCAAGGCTTCAGCCAAGAAATCTTCAGTCGTGCAGCAAGCTCCACATGCTGCAGTAGCTTATACCAGTGCATTCTAGCACATGTGTAAATAAGGTAGAGGTAGTTAGTTTGTTAGGAATTAACCACAAGTAGTTAAGTGTTGGTCAGGCAGTTATGGTCAGGTTACCCATTACCTACTATTGTATATAAATAGATCTTCTCTGTATTTGATTTGTTAATAAGAATAATATCAAGAACTCAAATTCTCTTTAAGAACATGGCCTAGTCCGAGTTTTGTTCACCTCTAGTACAAGGTACGAGTTGAAAATCTACATATATTAGACAACATGTGTGGTAGAATTTTGTTAATAAAAATCAGTATGTTTGGTTACATTTTTGAAAGATATCTTTGAGTTTTTTTTTTCCTTATTTATTCTCTTTAGTAAATTTTTCATAGTTTAATTAAAATTTTAAAATTTTTATATGCACATATAGATGTACCTAAAAGTTAAAATATTTGTTAATAAATTTGGGGGGGAAAAAATTAAGAAAATGGCATATTTTCATTATTTTTTTAAGTTAATTTTTATTTTATTTTAGATATATTTCTACGACACGCAATGTTGCCTAATGTATGTAGATTTTCAACTGGTACTAAATTTATAATAAAATTTTGGAAAAATAAGCATTTTAGTCATTAAACTCAATGTAGGTTTACATAAAATATCTAAAATACTCAATTAGATTGAAAATAAGCAAATGATTTAGATTAAAAATAAATTAAAATAATAGGGTTTAATTTCATAAATTTAAGTTTTTGAAATTTATTTTATTATAAGAGTCAAATCCTAGAATTTATTAATGTAATCTAAGTACAATTATATTTTTTAATTGTAAAAATTATAATATCATATTAAATAAGGAGCACTCAAGCCATAAATAAAATTTTCAATCTTTTGAGTCATTAGGTCCAAACTCTAATCTCTTTGGGTCAAAAGACACAATTTGTCTAAAAGGACAACTGTCTGTTGAAATCAATCTATCGATCTGTATCTTGAAATCAATCTTTCTTTCTTTCTTTTTTTCGTTTTTTTATATTTTTTTGTTTTTTTGATCGGCAAAGAAAAGCTTTATTGATGAAAAAACAACCGAATTACATCAATAAAGAGGAGCTTAGAGCTAGAATAAGCACCAACCTCCTAGTTGGTGAGTAGCCAACAAACAAAGCAAAATAGAGATAAAAACAACAGAACAACTGAGTCAAAGTGTAATAACTCGAGCCTCATATCTGTTTCTGGGATATTTTCGACCCTTTATTCTGTGCACTTAATTGCTTACTGTGAAATTTCATGTGAAATGAGGTTTAATTAGGTAAAACGTATAAATATTGATTCATATCTGTTTAATAAGGAAACATCTGTCACAATTAAAACGTAGAGATCAGAAATTGAGAGCCTTAGAGGCTTGATAATTCAAAATTGATTTTACATTTGAGATCAGCATAATTTTTAGGTAATAATAAACATTACTGTGAAATTTCAATTTGGGATGATTAAACGATTGAGTTTTGTCCTATTTACATCTTATATATAACTGTGTACCAAGACTCTTTAACACTTTGACTTAGAAGCTTTATTGCAAATATCTCCTGAGAGGAAAGATTAGAGTAGATAAAGGTTTGAGAAGTAGGAGAAGAAGATCATCAAGAAGGTTGGGTATTTGAGAGACCTAAGCTCAAGGTATGTAGATTTTACCTTAATTAACTCCTCTCTTGTATTGGGCTAGGAATTTCTCGAGTATTCATGTAAGTTAAGGTTTGTGTTGTGGTGGTGTGTGTGTGTGTGTGTCACTTATAGAGTTGAATAAGGATTTCATCATGTAGTAGTTGTGTTAATTTGAGCCATAAAAGGGAATTTACATACTATTCTTGATTCTACATGCGTGAATCCAATTATGTGTGAGTTGAATATGTGTGTGTATTTAGATCTTGAGAGAAATGGATTGTGAAGGTGAGTGAAAATGAGGAAGATCAAATCCATAATCAATTGTTATATGTTTGTATCCCTTATCTACATGATTTTTGAACCATGTTTTAGCACTTAAGGAGTCTATTTTGGACCTTCTTGATGCTCACCAAAAAATGGGATTTTGTATGAATTTCGGACTGTCAAACAGGGGCCAGGCCGCACGTGAGGAGGTCGTGGCCGCATGTGCGGAGAAGAGGAAGAAAATTGGGTTTTGCATACTATTTTTGGCCGCTCGAGCGGAGAAGGGGCACCGCATGTACGGTCCATGTGCAGGTCTGGAAAATTTGCCTGCTCCATTTTACGTGCTCGTCCCTCTGATATTTTTAAAATATTTTTTTGATGATTTTAGGAGAGTTGTAAATTCATTCGAAGCATAATAACTCAGGAAGTAATTTGACAAGAAAAAGGGAAACTAATTTGTGAACTTTGTATGTGTGTAGGACACGCTTCAGGAGGAAGTAGCACTCTATCACAACACTGTGAGTAATAGTGCAATGGATACACATGCATTTACCGTTAACGCTTATCGCTATTAACGTTCTGTTTCCGTAAGTTACTACATTATATGTATATTGGTTGGGAATTGATGTGAATGTAAACATTGAAAGAATTTGTGTATACATGAATCTTTCTGGGCCAATGGCCGTTCTGTTATTTCTGGGCCGATGGCCGTTCTGTTATATCTGGGCCTAAGGCCATTCTAAAAGTAACACAGCATGGGACTAACCTTATGAACTCTGCAGTTACACACACATGGTTATGTATTATGATTTAAATTACGCATGGAACTGTATAAGTACTATTATTTACTAAGCTTCGCTCACTCCACATCTGGTCTGTTTCTGTAGGTAATCAACCCGGGAGCCAGTCTTAACTCCGGAGGCTCATCTACCTTTTGTCAACCTCAGTATGTCCAGGCACTTAGGTGGAGCCGTCCCATTTTTGTGAACTTTGTCAAGTTTTGGCTTGTATTCTAATAGTCTGTTTAAGGTTGGGATGTGAATAATGTTTTGTTATGTGCCCAATCTCGGGGCTGGATCTGTATATATGTATGTATGTAACCGATACTCTGATGCATGTTTCTGCATCTCTTTTCCTGTTATGATGTTTGTGATCCTGGCATAGTAGTGATAGCTCAATGGATATGATTTTATCTTATTCTATAATCTTCAATGCTTCCGTTCAGCCTCCATATGTTATGTATATTAGGTTAAGTGTCCGGTTCTGATTAGGTCATGCCCAAACTTTTAGGGGCGAGTTTGGGGTGTGACAAGTGGTATCAGAGCACGAGTTGCTATCTCACACACGGATCCATTGAGCTTTAGGGTGTCTAGAAAAGATTTAAGTATCATACATGTCATCCTGGAAGTATATGAAAGATTGATGGCAACGTTAAGCGTACTCTGCTAATGCTAACAATTTTGACCTCTGTCTATGGTATCTAATTGATTGTTGTGTAGATTATGGTGAGAACAAGAGCAGAAGACCTGGAAGATGCCACTTTTGTAAGGTTGGATAGGATAGAAAGAATGATTATGGAAATGGCGGAAACCCTACGGCAACAACAACAATAGCCACAACCGCAACCGCCACCACCACCGGTACCTCCACCTGTAGTACAAGATTTCCATGCTGAAGACCGAACCATTACCCTTACCAAGGAGTTTAAGAAGATGAAACCGCCGTCATTCAAAGGAGGGATAGAACCAATAAAAGCTGAGGCATGGGTGTTGGGAGTAGAAAAGTTATTCGAAGTTTTTCCTTGTATCGAAGCCCAAAAAGTGCAATTGGCTGCCTACACTCTTGAGGACGAGGCACGGAGATGGTGGATGCTTACAAGAACTATACATCCGGGATTAGCATGGGATAGATTCTTGGAGTTGTTTTATGATAAGTACATTCCTCAGAGTGTGCGAGACAAGAAAGTGATTGAATTTGAAACTCTTCGACAAGGGAACAAGACTGTAGCGGAGTATGAAGCTCAATTTGCAGAACTTGCTCGGTTTGCACCTCATATGGTGGATACAGATTATAAGAAGGTACGAAAATTTGAAGTGGGATTACGGAGTGCTATCCTAGATAAAGTCAACATATTAAAGTTACCTACGTATGTGGATGTGTTGGAGAGGGCTGTTATAGCAGAGGGAAACCTTGCTGCTCAGAGTCGGATTTTTGAATGGAGAGGAAAGAGGCAGAACAATCAATGGGTCAAGGGGTCAGCTACTCCACCAAACAAGAAGCAAAATTCAGGGACCTCCAGCACAACCACTTCTACTCAAGATTCAGCCCCTGTGTGTTCAGAATGTGGAAGGAGGCACCGTGGAATTTGTCACTGCTTATCTGGAGCATGTTTTCGATGTGGCAAAACGGGTCATTTGGTAAGGGATTGTCCTCAAATGAATCAACAGAATAACAATAAAATAGTTACAAGTTCAGTAGGATCTGCACCAGCTTTCAACACCAAGTCGGCTGCCAAACCTGCTAACAATAAGGACATCGCGAGACAAGGCAAGGTGTTTGCATTGGTCCCGGGGGATGTGCAAAATGCGGCGACAGTAGTGTCAGGTACTTTTATTGTTCACGGTCATTCTGCTCATGTATTGTTTGATTCCGGCTCTACCCATTCCTTTGTGTCAAAATTATTTGCTCAACATTTAGATAGATCTGAAGAAGTATTATCTTATATGCTATGTGTGTCCTCACCCTTGGGGAATTCTATGATCTGTACCTCTGTATATTTTGCTTGTGAACTCCTCATTGGGGATGTCCGGGTCTGTGCCAATCTGTTACCACTTGATATGATTTATTTTGATATTATTTTGGGAATGGACTGGTTGAGTGAATATGGTGCCACAATAGACTGTTTGACTAAGCAAATCAGTTTCCACCCTCCGGGACAGTCAGAGTCTAGTTTTCAGGGACAGGAGGTGACTCCTTCACCTTATTTGATTTCTGCAGCAAAGGCATGTAAATTAATTCAGAAGGGGTGTCAGGGGTATTTGTGCAGTGTTTTGGAAGGGCCAATGATGAATGAGAGTATCAATACGATTCCAATTGTTTGTGATTTTCCGGATGTTTTTTCAGAAGAATTACCAGGGGAATTAGTGGACCGTGAAATTGAGTTTACAATTGAAGTAGCACCGGGAACTCAACCCATTTCTAAGACTCCGTATAGAATGTCACCGGCTGAAATGAAGGAATTAAAGGTTCAGTTGCAAGATTTACTTGATAAGGGGTTCATCCGCCCGAGTGTGTCTCCTTGGGGTGCACCAGTTCTGTTTGTGAAAAAGAAGGATGGAACACTCCGACTTTGTATTGATTACAGGGAACTCAATAAGGTAACGATCAAGAATAAGTACCCACTGTCGCGGATTGATGATTTATTAGACCAGCTACAAGGGGCACAAGTCTTTTCGAAAATTGATTTACGATCTGGATACCGCCAATTGAAAGTTAAAGCTGATGATATTGAGAAGACAGCTTTTCAAACCCGATATGGTCATTACGAATTTCTGGTTATGCCTTTTGGTGTTACTAATGCACCAGCAGCGTTTATGGATTCAATGAACCATGTCTTTAAGCCTTATTTGGATGAGTTTGTGGTGGTCTTTATTGATGATATCCTCATTTACTCAAAGGATGTAGGAGCTCATGAGAATCATCTTCGCTAAATTCTTCAGACCCTACGAGAAAAGAAGCTGTATGCTAAGCTTAAGAAATGTGAATTTTGGCTACATGAGGTGGCCTTTCTGGGGCATGTTATAACAAAGGATGGAGTCTCTGTTGATCCACATAAAATTGAGGCGATCGTGAACTGGCCAACCCCTACCAATGTGACTTAGGTGCGTAGTTTTATGGGATTAGCCGGATATTACAGGAGGTTTATTCAAGATTTCTCCAAAACTGCGGTACCGCTTACACAATTGACTCAAAAGGGAGTTGCGTTTGAATGGTCAGAACAACGGGAATCTGCTTTCCTGAAATTAAAGACAAAGTTGACTACAGCTCCAGTCCTTGCTTTACCATCTGGTACTGAGGGATTTGTGATCTATAGTGATGCTTCACATAAGGGGCTAGGTTGTGTGCTTATGCAAAATGGAAAAGTTATCGCTTATGCTTCACGTCAGCTTAAACCTCATGAAAAGAATTACCCCACACACGACCTTGAGCTAGCTGCGGTAGTTTTTGCTTTGAAGGTATGGCGGCACTATCTGTATGGCACTACTTGTGAGGTGTACACCGACCATAACAGTCTCAAGTATCTTTTTATGCAAAAGGACTTGAATATGCGACAGCGACGGTGGTTGGAACTTATTAAAGACTATGATTTGCAGGTCTATTACTATCCTGGTAAAGCCAACACGGTGGCAAATGCGCTTAGTCAAAAGAATGTGGGACGGTTGGCAAATTTATTTACGGAGCAAAAGGAATTGATGGGTGAATTGGACAAAATGGAGGTAGATCTTGTGATGCATGAACAGGGGGCCATAGTGACAGCAGTGACAGCCCAACCGACATTACTCAAAGAGATCAAACTACGTCAAATGGAAGATGGAACTCTAAGGAAGATATGTGATGAGATGGAGACAAAACCGAAACCGGGATTTACGTTGATGGATTCTGTACTCAAATTTCAAAACCGAATATGTGTCCCTAATGTGTTAGAACTTAAACAGAAACTGATGGAAGAATCACACTCCTCAAGATTTTCACTACATCCAGGAAATACTAAAATGTACCGGGATATGAATCAAAATTTTTGGTGGCCGAGTATGAAAAAGGAGATCGCGGAATTCGTCTCTAAAAGTTTACAATGTTAGCAAGTAAAGGCAGAGCATCAGAAACCAGCAGAATTGTTGCAACCCCTTCTAATTCCGGAATGGAAGTGGGAACATCTTACCATGGATTTTGTTGTAGGCTTGCCACGGACTCCTCGAGGTATGAATTCTATATGGGTCATTGTAGACCGATTGACTAAATCTGCTCACTTTCTACCTGTGAAAGCCCAGTATAATGCAGACAAACTTGCTGTGATCTATGTGAATGAAATTGTAAAGCTCCATGGTGTTCCGGTCTTAATTGTGTCAGGTAGAGATCCAAAATTTATTTTTAGGTTCTAGCGAAGTCTACAGGATGCAATGGGTACAAAACTAAATTTTAGCACAGCTTTCCACCCTCAAACAGATGGACAATCCGAGAGGAAGATACAGGCGTTAGAGGATATGCTTCGAATGTGTGTTTTGGATTTTCAGGAAAGTTGGGAAACTCATCTTCCATTGGTAGAGTTTGCATATAATAATAGTTACCATTCGAGTATTGAGATGGCACCCTATGAGGCTCTGTATGGAAGATCGTGTCGTTCCCCTGTGTGTTGGGCTGAAATTGGAGATAGACCGTTGCTAGGGCCCAAAATTGTTCAGTTGACAACTGAAAAGGTTAAAATTATTCGGGAAAGATTGAAAACTGCTCAAAGTAGGCAGAAGAGTTATGCGGATAACCGGCGAAGGAATCTGGAATTTGAGGTGGATAGCCACGTTTTTGTGAAAGTCACTCCGATGAAAGGACATCCAAGATTCGGGAAAAGGGGTAAGTTAACAACCCGATATGTTGGTCCATTTCCAATTTTGGAAAGAGTAGGTCTGGTACCTTACCGAGTTGCCCTTCCGCCAAATATGAGTCAAGTCCATAACGTGTTCCATGTTTCTATGCTTCGAGGATACCTTCCAATTCCTTCACATGTCATAGATTATCACCGAATTGTGCTGGATGACAAGTTAACTTATGAGGAAAAACCAATTCGAATTTTGGACCGACAAGTGAAATAGTTACGAAATCGAGAGATCCCAATGGTAAAAGTTGAATGGCAAGAACACTACGGACCGAAGCAACTTGGGAAAAAGAAGAGGAGATACAACACCAATATCCACATCTGTTCTGATCTTGAGGTAAAACAAGTTTGAGGGACCAAACTTATTTAGGGGGGGGGGAGAGTGTAATAACCCGACCCTCATATCTGTTTCTGGGATATTTTCGGCCCTTTATTCTGTGCACTTAATTGTTTACTGTGAAATTTCATGTGAAATGAGGTTTAATTAGGCAAAACGTATAAATATTGATTCATATCTGTTTAATAAGGAAGTATCTGCCACAATTAAAATGTAGGGATCAGAAATTGAGAGCCTTAGAGGCTTGATAATCCAAAATTGATTTTACATTTGAGATCAGCATAATTTTTAGGTAATAATAAGCATTACTGTAAAATTTCAATTTGGGATGATTAAACGATTGAGTTTTGTCCTACTCACATCGTATATATAACTATGTACCAAGACTCTTTAACACTTTGACTTAGAAGCTTTATTGCAAATATCTCCTGAGAGGAAAGATTAGAGTAGAGAAAGGTTTGAGAAGTAGGAGAAGAAGATCATCAAGAAGGATGGGTATTTGAGAGACCTAAGCTCAAGGTATGTAGATTTTACCTTAATTAACTCCTCTCTTGTATTGGGCTAGGAATTTCTTGAGTATTTATGTAAGTTAAGGTTTGTGTTGTGGTGGTGTGTGTGTGTGTGTCACTTATAGAGTTGAATAAGGATTTCATCATGTAGTAGTTGTGTTAATTTGAGCCATAAAAGGGAATTTACATACTATTCTTGATTCTACATGCTTGAATCCAATTATGTGTGAGTTGAATATGTGTGCGTATTTAGATCTTTAGAGAAATGGATTGTGAAGGTGAGTGAAAGTGAGGAAGATCAAATCCATAATCAATTGTTATATGTTTGTATCCCTTATCTACATGATTTTTGAACCATGTTTTAGGACTTAAGGAATCTATTTTGGACCTTCTTCATGCTCACCAAAAAATGAGATTTTGTATGAATTTTGGACTGTCAAATAGGGGCCAGGCCACAGGTGAGGAGGTCGTGGCCGCATGTGTGGAAAAGAGGAAGAAAATTGGGTTTTGCATACTGTTTTTGGCCGCTCGAGCGGAGAAGGGGCACCGCATGTGCGGTCCATGTCCGCACGTACGGAGGGGACGGCCGTACGTGCAGCCCAGTTTGGGAAAATTTGCCTACTCCGTTTTACGTGCTCGTCCCTCTGATATTTTTAAGATATTTTTTTGATGATTTTAGGAGAGTTGTAAATTCATTCGAAGCATAATAACTCAGGAAGTAATTTGACAAGAAAAAGGGAAACTAATTTGTGAACTTTGTATGTGTGTAGGACACGCTTCAGGAGGAAGTAGCACTCTATCACAACACTGTGAGTAATAGTGCAATGGATACACATGCATTTACCGTTAACGCTTATCGCTATTAACGTTCTGTTTCCGTAAGTTACTACATTATATGTATATTGGTTGGGAATTGATGTGAATGTAAACATTGAAAGAATTTGTGTATACATGAATCTTTCTGGGCCAATGGCTGTTCTTTTATTTTTGGGCCAATGGCTGTTCTGTTATTTCTGGGCCAATGGCCGTTCTGTTATTTCTGGGCCGATGGCCGTTCTGTTATATCTGGGCCTAAGGCCATTCTGAAAGTAAAACAGCATAGGACTAACCTTATGAACTCTGCAATTACATACACATGGTTATCTATTAAGATTTAAATTGCGCATGGAACTGTATAAGTACTATTATTTACTGAGCTTCGCTCACTCCGCATCTGGTCTATTTCTGTAGGTAATCAACCCAGGAGCCAGTCTTAACTCCGAAGGCTCATCTACCTTTTGTCAACCTCAGTATGTCCAGGCACTTAGGTGGAGCCGTCCTATTTTTGTGAACTTCTGTCACATTTTGGCTTGTTTTCTAATAGCCTGTTTAAGGTTGGGATGTGAATAATGTTTTGTTTTGCGCCCAATCTCGGGGCTGGATCTGTATATATGTATGTATGTAACCGATACTCCGATGCATGTTTCTACATTTTCTTTTCCTGTTATGATGTTTGTGATCCTGGCATAGTAGTGATAGCTCAATGGATATGATTTTATGTTATTATATAATCTTCAATGCTTCCGTTCAGGCCCCATATGTTATGTATATCAGGTTAAGTGTTCGGTTCCGGTTAGGTCATGCCCAAACTTTTAGGTGCGAGTTTGGGGTGTGACAAAAAGAGCACCAAAAATCTGAGCATCTCAACACCACAATCTGAGCATAATCTTAATAGTCTCTAACAAGATAGAACAACTGACTTACTTTCTGAGGCCTTGTACGAGCAACATACCACCATCATCCAGCCACCCAGAGCAGACCAGCTTCCAGCAGCATTAGCATTACCACTCCCCTTCTAAAATCTGCACAGAAATAAAACCTCCAATAGACCTCCTAAAATCTGCACATAATCTTAAAATCTACATACACCAACAGACCTCCAAGGCCATACATCAGACCAGCAACCAATATAGCAGCATAAATTAGCATAACTCTGCATTTGGGGGAGGATCCCCTTTGGTTACTGGATTCGATCTTACTTAGCTGGCCAAAATAGTAAAGCAACATAACCAGCAAAGCTGCATATCAGATTCTAGCTCCATCAGTCCACCAAGTCCTTAGTCCAGAATCAACCATAGTCAACCATAATAGTAGCCCTGCTCCCACACAAAGCAGAACACAACACAGGGGAAAAGGAATCCCATGATACTAACAGATTTTGAAATCAATATATCAGTT